CGCTGCTCAAAGGGGACGTGCAGCTAAACCGCCGGATGAGATGCCCCAGGCTCTGCCTGCGAAGACCCCGTGCCACTCCGAGGCCGCAGGGCCGGCACAGGCCGTCTGTCTCCCTGTCCCCGCGCCCAGCTCCGGTCACGTCTCAGACACTCCCCACGCGAGGGCACAGACACCTACGCCGTTGCCTTCCAGCTCGAACTCTTCAAATTGGAGAGAGATGCGGTGCTGCGCGGGCGCCACCACCTGCCACACGCAGTTCTTGTTGGTGGGGTACTCCTGGGGCCACCCGGGGCTGGCGATGGTTCCGTTCAGCGTGGTGATGAAGCCACCACAGGCCACTGTGGGGGAGCAGAAACAAGCGCATTGGCTTTCCTTCCCGGTGACTGCGACGTCCTCAGACCGCAGTAAGCTCTGCTGTTCTTTAGTAATAGTAATAATGATGCCAGACGATCTGAGCTGATTAATTCAGTGTCCTTTTTAGGACCTAGCCTAAGTGTTTCAGCAGAGGATCTGGAGGGATGCAGTGAGAGACTAGTCTTTACTGCTTTAAAGAAAGACGACCCAGGGGCCAGCAGGTGCAGGGGTAAGGCGCTGGACTTCCACATGGCCGATCGTGGTTTGAGTCCCAGACCCAGTGGCCTGAAACTCACACCAGGTGCAAGTGCATGCATGCCCAAAATCCCGAGAGGAGAATGGAGAGGCAGGGGTTGCAGCGTGGCTGTCCCCTCAGGGGGTGATTTCTCACTCTGTGACTCTGGTGAGCTCATGTGCCCTATAGCAAAAATAGCTCTTAAAAATAGAGTAAGAATAATGCCCGTTTGGGGCCTGACAGTCACATAGTGGTGCTCGGAGGGGCTGACCCACTCGGGAGTTCCGTGCTCGTGTCCACAGACCTCCCTGAGCACACCGGGTGCATGTGTGCCCTCAGGGTTAGCTGAGGCTGAGAGTTGATTGTGGCATCAAGCCCCTCTTGGGGTGTTGTCTCTCTGCCTGGAAGAAATGAGGATTTTTTTTTTTTTTGAAGGTTTTTGCCATAGGACTCATGTGCTCACCAGAGAGAGAGGGGGAAGTGAGAAATCACCCCGGGAGGATAGCCATGCCATGTTTCCTTCTCCTCCACTCAGCATCCATGCACATGTGCCCAGTGTGGGCCTGCACCACGCCACCTGCTGGCCCCAAAGAAACACGTTCTTAGAAACAATGACACAGGGACCAGCAGTTGAAGTAATGGCTATGTCGCTGAACTCCCATGTAGTGGAAGGCGGTTCAAGTCCCAGACCTGGTAGCTTAAACTCACGCTGGGCACATGTGCAATGCATGCCCAAGATCCTGAGAGGAGAAGGGATTGCAGCGTGGCCATCCCCCCTGGGGGGTGATTTCTCACTTTCTGTCTCTGTCTCTCTCTGTCTTTCTGGCAAGTGCATGCGCCCTATAGCTAAAACATCTCCCCCCCAAACAAACAAACAAAAAACGCTTGCACCGACTTTTTGGTGGAGCTGGCTCACGTGAGCGAGCAGATCTCAGGCAGGTGGGCGAGGACAACGCCGACCAGCCAGGAGTGGAATGGATGAAACGTGCGACTAGGCGGGTCGCCAACACGCGTATAGCTTTTCTTACTGTTTTTTTTTAGAGAGATCTTTTGTTATAGGGCATGTGCGCTTGCCAGAGAGACGAAGTGATCAATCGCCCCCAAGGGGGTGGCCACGCCGCAACCCCTTCTCCATCCTCCTCTTGGGACCTCGGGCACACACGCACATGCCCGGCGTGAGTTTTAAGTCGGCAGGTCCAGGACTCCAATGCGGTCGACGATATGGGAGTCCAGCAACGTAACCATTATGCCACCTGCTGGTCCCTCTCTACTTTCATTTTCCACCTTGCTAATCACTGCAATTTTACATGATCACGGTAGGGAGGAAGAGAAGCCGCGGCCCTGGTTTTGCAGGCAGAGCCCATGTGATCTGGCCAGCTCTCGTCCTGATGGCCGTTGCTGACTGGCCTCTGCTGTGGGAAGTAGGCGGAGCGCCCCCACGTCCACCACCATCCCTGCCCAGCGCCGCCCAGCCTCGCCTGCAGCCCGGGGCACCAACCTTCGCAGGCCTTCTCGTCGGCAGCCAGCTCGTAGCCGGCGTCGCAGGCGCACTTGAAGCTGCCCGGTGTGTTCACGCAGCGCTGCTCACAGCCGCCGTGGTCCGGCCAGGAACACTCATCCACCTCTGTGGGAAGAGGGGACCCCGGTCTGTTCTCCACGCCTCCCACATCCCAGGTGCCCAGCTGCCGTCCTGGAGGAACAAGGGCAGCTCCTGGTGGCCAGTTCCCAAGGAGTCTACATCGCGTCTGAACAACTAGCAGTGGCCAACACCCAGTGGGACCGGACAGCACCGGGCAGGACACCCTGTGGGCCAGGGAGGGCTCCGCGAGAGGACAGCGGGCCCAGGGTGGGCTTCTAGGCCTTCCGTCAGCGGAATTCGTCTGTGATTTCAAACAAGCGTACAGGTTCCAAACCGAAGACTTTGCCGGTTTTAATGCCATGGAATTGGGGATTTCTCCCATAAATACAGAACTTCTCAGACATTAATAGAGGGTAGTGAGACCGGGAGGTGGCGTGGTGGTTAAGGCTCTGGACTTCCACACGGCTGACCATGATTTGAGTTCTGGACTGGGCGGCTTGCTCTCTTCTCCCCCTTCTCTGTCTCTCTGATGAGCACGCGTACCAAATTAAAATAATAATAAATAAAATGAAATAATTCTTCTTTAAAAATAGTTAGAGGGTATGGACAAAAGGAGACATTTCCAGATGGAGCTCCGTGTCCTCCAGATGTTCGTGGCAGGCCTGTCGCTTAGATCTCTGTAAACACACCGAAGAGAGACGCACGGGGAGACCCTTAGGTTTAGTGCAAGCATAGGACTCGTAGGCGAGCGTGCTCCCGGAGAAGCTGCCGGAGGCGGCCACTCCGTGCCGAGCCAGCAGCTGTGGGGCCTGATGGGATTCCATGCCAACCAGGCCGGTGGTGCATTCCGGGAACTCACATGACAGCCAGGGGAGCCCCGAGGGTATCCTCCTGGCACCTGACACAGTCACTGGAGCGTCACCCTGGACACGTTCACCAGGGGCCTCTGAAGGAAAGGAAACCCCAGTACAGGTTTGCCTGAGAACAGTATTTGAAACAAAAGATGAAACAGTGCTATTCTCTGTTGCCAAACCATGAACACCTATCCCTGAAAGGGCATGCCCAACAGAACTGGCGAAACATGAAACACCATGACGTGGTTTTGGTTTGCTTTTTAGAGATTTTTGCTATAAAGCGCGTGTGCTCGCCAGAGCGACAGAAAGTAAGAAATCACCCCCCGGGGGATGGCCACGCAGCAGTCCCTTCTCCTCCATTCTCCTCTCGGGATCTTGGGCGCACATGTGTCCAGTGGGAGTTTGAAGCCACTAGGTCCAGGACTTGAACCTCGGTCGACTACGTGGGAGTTCAGCGACATAACCGTGATGCCACCTGCTGGTCCTGAGACATCTTTAAAGAAATAAATAAATTTTTAAAGTATTTTAGAAAGTCTACTCTAGGGAACAGAGTACTGGCTCAGCACGCCGTGGGAGGTGTGCGCAGGGCAAGTGCGGGTTGTTCACCAACCCTTGTCCCAGGAAGGCATCGGAGCACCCAGCAGGTGACAGAGACGTGGAAAACTATCCAGTGTGGCCAGCTGGATGGGGACCAAGTAGGGACCCATGTAATGACGTTCCCGAGAGATGACTTCTGACCCGGCCTCAGAGCTCCCCGAGAGGCCACCTGCTACTTCTCAGAGGTCAAAAGTCTGACCAGTGCAACTTCTAACCCATGGGTCTTGGAGAAAATGCAAACTCTCCAACCAGTACAGTTCCCTCTACCCTGCCCGTTTCCGGCTCAAATAAACCCACCCTTCCACTTTTCCCTGTCTGGGACACACAGACTTATCGGCCTCACTGCTCTTCGCTGGGTAAAGGAAGCTTGTGGACGCTTTGTCCTTTCCCATCTGGAGGGTACACTTGGGCTGCTCCGTGAGAGGTGTGTCCCTGGGCGCAGCTAAGCTTAGAGAGACTGGTCAGGACCAGCAGCTGGGTTTACGGTAGCTGCTGCAGGCGTGAGTCGTCTGTGACCTCAACATGGGCAGCAGTGACAAATGCGCGATGATTGCGTTCCCGCCTCACTGTACGCGAAGCACTTTCTCAGCGGCTAGGACAGAGGAGGACAGACGCCCGGGAGTAGGAAAGAGCCCAGCTTACAGCTGTCCACCGGCCCACCTTCCCCCAACAAACCTGTCCACTGGCGATTTTAACCTCGCTGAATCTTCCTCTTGCTTTATTATTTTTTTAAGAATTATTTATTTAATCTTATTTATTATTTTTAAATTTGCTATAGATTACATGTGCTCACCAGAGAGAGAGAATGTGAGAAAGCAAGCTGCCAGGTCCAGGACTTGAACCGTGGTCAGCCATGTGAGAATCCAGTGCCTTTACCACCATGTCATCTGCTGGCCTCCTCTCTCCTACTTTAAAATGAAGAAGAATAATGCCCGCCTTTAGGGTCATGGTGATCGGACAGTGCACATGAAGTGCCCAGCACACAGGCCATCCAGACACAGGGCTGCTGCACACGCGGCAGTGCATGCGAAGTGCCCAGCACATAGGCCGTACACAGGGCTACCGCACACACAGCAGTGCACGCGAAGTGCCCAGCACATAGGCCGTACACAGGGCTACCGCACACAGGGCAGAGCATGCACGCAAGCTGTCTGGATACAGGGCTGCCGCACACACGGCAGTGCACACACACAGGCCGTCTGGACACAGGGCTGCCGCACACACGGCAGTGCACGCAGGCCGTCCGGACACAGGGTGTCACACACACGGCAGTGCACGCAGGCCGTCCGTACACAGGGTGTCACACACACGGCAGTGCACACACACAGGCCGTCCGTACACAGGGTGTCTCACACACGGCAGTGCACGCAGGCCGTCTGGACACAGGGCTGCCACACACACGGCAGCGGAGTCCCTCGTGGCGTTCCAGCAGGTGAAGACCCGGGGCGGGTGGTGAGAAGGGTAAGGCTGCCTGGGTACACCTGAACCAGGCGAGTGGAGTCACGCAGGCCTGAGCAGGGGGGGCAGACAAGGCAAGAACAGGAAGAAGGCAATTCTCCCAGGATGGGCCACTCGCTAGGTGGGAAGAAGGCAGGCAGTAGGTTCTAGAAACTGGCTGGTGGACACAGGGAGAAGGCAGAGCAAAGCGAGGGAAGGCCCATCAGAGCAGACCAAGGTAGACAAGGACGAAGGGAGGGGAAGGGAGACCCTGATGCCAGAGGCTGCTGTGGCAAGAGAGGACACGATGAGCGAGCGTCCTGGGCCGGCCTAGCAGGAGGGGCGGGCAGGGAACGGGTTTAGGCTAAAGCAGAGCGTATAGTAATGCGTCCAGAAGGGTCGGGCGTTGGACCCTATATACAGACGGGGGTCATTTTACTCCTGCACAGTCAGCAAGGGCAGTCGGGCCACCGCCCTGCTCCAGCCCCTCGGACGGCGCGCACCTGCCCTGACGCTCTCTGCCTCCCTCCACACTAGGGAGAATGATGGCGGCTCTGAACCCTCCGACTCTGACCTCAGTGGCCAAGGCTGACCCTCCCGGGAAAACCGGGGAGAGCCTGGGAGTAGAAGGGGCCGAACCAGGGCTCAGCTTGGCCCAGTAGGGCTCCGGCTTCTCACCCCTTTCAGATGGTGCTGGGGGAGGAAGGAACCGTCCTGTGGGTGGACGATGAGACGGGTCAGGAAGGATCAGGAAAGCCTCCCGAGAGAGGTAAGGAAGAGAAGCAGGACACATGCCCGGGCTTTTGAGGAGGTCAAGCAAGATGCTGGCCCCTACCCCACCACAAGACCCTCTGGTAGCCCACGGGCACTCGGGGAGTGGCTGCGGGGGCCGGGGTGCGGATCCTGAGGTTCGGTTCCGCGTGTAGGAGTGAGGCT